GCTCAAAAACGTCGCTGCTTAAGCTCCCTAATAGGAAGCTCAAGCAACGACGACGGCGACGGTCACGAAAACGTACCTTACAAAGTGAATTTGCACTTCTTTAAACTATATCAGGAGGTTGGCTCCTGACTTAATCGTGCTTATTCCATCTCGTTTAACTCGTCAAATGTGTTGGCAAAAATGTTTTGCTGGAGTTGATTCCTAAAAGACTGTATCAAAAATCAGGAAAAGAAAAAGAAAGTCGTAGTCTTGTGTTCAAGTCCTCCGCGAGACGTGAAATTAGGCATTTTCCTTCGTAGTCGTGCAGTGACGGCAAAGAAATGTAAAAAAAGCGTGATGAACGAGCAAAGTTGTTGTTTTGCTAATCTAGACCTATTGTTTTTTTACCGTTCTCCTTGCCGTCGCCGTCGACGTTGCTTAAGCTCCATAACATCAGCTGTAAGTATGGTCCTTAATGATACTCCTTACCTGCATCATGCATTGGTAGTTTTGTACATCTTAGCCTCGCTTCTACAGAATAAAATGGTTATGTACCCATCGCCACGACTTCTGTCCTTTTTCCTTAGAGTCATCTCGACACCTACCCTGCAACACAATTCCATATTGTAAGACCAACAGCCTCTCGAAGAGCATGTAAGCAAGCTCTTCATTCCAAGTGGCGAGCAAAGCAAGCTGTGATAAAATACGCAAGCGAGCCGAGAATTCGCGAGGATACAAAGGAGGCAGGGGGGTTCTCCTATGTTTCCCCACCCCTCGGACTCGAGTTTGCTCACAGCTAGTCAGTTGTGTGACGAGACAAAAACGGCTGCAAGGGAGACTAGCTCACTAATCAAGGAGGAAAATACAACATCGTAGCACCCCCACTACACAAAAAGTTTGACAACAGCTTCAGATAGCCAAATACCTATAGATTACTTATTCGACATTCGGACCTACAAATTCTGGGGTCAGTGGCTGACTTGGTACGCTGCGATTTCTGAGGGGGCGGGGGTATTTTGAAGCATCAAATTTCAGCGTTTTCGTATGGGTGCAAAAACTTTGAAAAATCATATATCTTTTTACTTATTCAGGCAAATGGGTTAGTATTCGGCCGACGCGTGTTAATCCGTAATAGCTACAATCTCAGATGTACTTTGTGCTTTTTTTGCATTTCCATGGTAACGGTTTATAAGGAAGCTCTGTCCATGGGTTCTAACGTCAATAATAACGGATGTTGTGACTTCCGCTACTAATATACATTGCCGATGTAGTTAGAATGTGCTTACAACTGATATTTACTAATTCTGGCGAGCCGTTTGCACAATTGCCTATTTCCGACGTGTCGTTTCCCTGAGTCAACCCGAAAATTCGCGGACTGTCTTGACGATCATGGCTCAGTCCAACTTATAACCAATCATACGCGGGGTAAAATTGTCTTACAACTACAGTCTTATCATCAAGATTCAAGTCATCCCAGGTATTGGTGACCATGTTGCTGTGTTTGTTGAGGGTAATATCAGAGCAACAATCAACAAACAAAAACACAGGATGGTTCCCTCGTATAGAAAAGCAGACTAGGATGGCCTTAAGGAACACATGTCTACATATGTAGACTTTGTCGTGCATTCTACGGACTGTGATCTGTCAATAGATGATTTGGGGTCTAGTTTTCGAGAGGAATTGACCTCTGGTATCCAGCGATTAATACCACATAGGTTTACGAGCTCAAGAAATGGCCTGCCATATGTGTTCCCCTCACTGAAACGCCTCACGAGGAAAAGGGATAAGCTACACGCAAGGAAGGATCCCTGCTACAAGATCATTAAGCATGAAGTCCAAAAGAAGCTTCGGGCCGCATACTGGCAGTATGTGGAAGAGATTATAACCCCAACGAACGAAGAAGACGCGATGGGAGCTAACAAACGTCTTTAAGGCTTGTTTAAGCACCCCAAAGAAGCTTCGTGCCATATACTGGCAGTTAATGAAGAAGAGATTATTACCCCAACGAACGAAGAAGACTCTATGGGGGCTAACAAACGTCTCTGGGGCTTGTTTAAATCTGACAGCAAGGGGGTACCACCTCTCAGACATCAGGGCAACTTAATAACCAATGCGGCCGGTAAGGCGACCGTTTAAACAGCTACTTCCAATCAGTGTTCACAAGCCATGTACCCTTAGATTTGAAGCAACTTTGTCAAAATCAGTGCAATAGGGTCCTCGATCATACCCCTTACCGTACGCTATCTATGCCACCCATTCCAATTAAAACTGCTGGTATCCCTATGCTATTAGATAACCTACAGCCACACAAGGCCGCTGGGCCTGATGGTCTTCCCCCCATGGTCCTCCGGGAGCTCTCCTCAGTAATAGCACCAGCCCTTCAGAAGATCTTTAGTAAGTCCCTATCATCTCACTAAGTACCAGAGGACTGGAAAAAAGCCTTGGTCACCCCATCTTTAAGAAAGGGGATAAGGACAGTCCCGCAAACTACAGACCAATTTCCCTGATATGTATCTGCAGTAAATTGCTAGAGCACATCATCACTAAGAGTATCATGTCACACCTAGAACATCACAATCTCCTGTATCATTTGCAGCATGGTTTTCGCAGATTCTAGTCATGTGAATCGCAGCTAATTGAGTTTGTAAGTGATATTGTCGACAACTCACACGCTCAGCAGACCGATATCACCATACTGGACTTTTATAAGGCCTTTGATAAGGATCGTCACAACAGACTTCTTTATAAACTGGAGAATTATGGTATTAGAGGTGACACTCTTAAGTGGATTAAAGCCTTCCTTGAAAATCGGTAACAATGCGTAGTGGTGATGGCGAGAAGTCTGATTTTGTAACTGTCCTTTCTGGTGTGCCTCAAGGCTCCGTCATGGGTCCTGTGCTCTTTCTGGTATACATTAACGATCTCCCGCAGAATATAAGATCGAGGGTTCGCCTATTCGCCGACGATACAATTCTCTATTTGACTATCACAAGTGAAGATCGCTGCAGACAGTTCCAGGATGACCTTGATGCACTACACAAATGGGAGGCAACTTGGAGGATGGAGTTTAACGACATTAAGTGTGAGGTGTTGCGGATCTCGTGGTCTAAAGGCCCATTCCAACATACTTATTACCTGCATGGCACTTCACTAAAGGAGGTTGATCACGCGAAACATATACCTAGGTATTCAGTGGTTCTCAAAAGATCTCAAGTGGAATCGACACATTGACGAGATAACAGCCAAGGCAAACCGCACGCTTGGCTTCCTTAAAACAAACTTACGGGTAAATTCGTCAACTTAAAAAGCCAAAGCTTATAAAGGCTTAGTCCGCCCCCTGGTCGACTACTGCTCAAATGTTTGGGACCCCCGTCCAGACGTTGAGAATAACGGTTCATATAAGATCGAAAGGATACAGCGCCGCGCCGCTCGATGGTGCCTGCGCCGATACAACAACTCATCTAGCGTCACCAACACGCTTGAAGACCTGGGATGGCGTTCACAGCCCTCTTTAAGATCACCCGGGGGTTCCTCTCTGTTAACTCTCACGGGCTACTGCGTTCTGTCATGCGCAGGACACGTCGCTCGCTCTCGGAAAGTTTCATCCCGCTTCAAACTAGCCTGTCCACTGAGTATCTATCCTTTTTTTCAAGAACAATTAGTCAGTGGAACAAAGTGCCTGCTTCTGTCTTTAGTGAACACTGCTCTTTAGATACTTTCAAAGCCCATGTAAGCTGCCTAAATCATCTACCTGTTTCTTATCCTATTAAGTTAACTTTCTTTCTTTTTTTTTTTCGCTGACCAACCCACCCAATAATCCTCAAATTTGAGGGGTAGGCTGTAGGCGGTAAATGTAAATGTAAAGATTTTTTAGAAATTTACAAATCAAATTGTTCCATTGTCTTGTAACGAATAATGAAAGTTGTCATAATTGCCTCTAAACCTTATTTTCCTATTGGTACCAATAAACCCTTTGAAAAATCATATCTTAAAGACTAAACATTGCTCAACGAGGAAACTTTGGTGAGTCATGTGACTCTAAAAACTCTTTTATTTTATAATATTTTCGCGAAGTGATCCTTGTTTTCATGGCAACGGTTGCTAAGATGCACTTTTTGCAAGCAATGCCCCTTTTTAAAGAAGATCGAACAGAGATACGAGTTAAATAGGCAATTTGAAACAAAATTTAGTAGAAATACGAAATAAGTTTTTTCTTGGCCGGTTTGAAGAATGCTGAAAGACTCCCTCAAACTTTTTGCTCACATGCCTAAAGATACAAGCATTTAGCTAAAATGCAATACAGTATCAACACAAACAATTCTTTATAGTTTTTTTGTGTGTGTGTGTCTAGAAATGTTAATCACTGCAGAATCTTTAGTAATGATCTCGGATACAAATACATATATTTTGTAAATAACATATATTTTTGAAACTATATCGTTATATTCATATTTGACGTTATTACTATCTCTGTGTTTTGAGAGGGTGTTTGCTTAGCTACATGAGTGTTCTACTGAAAATTTAATAAAAAATTATTGAAGTGCCTTATTTTTTAGTTGCGTAGATTTTGTATAATTTGCAGTAAAGCTCTTAAAGCTTTTATAATCAACTTCTATGTGGGTATAAGTTTTCCTGGATCCCTTTTAAGTTGATTTCTATCCATCCCGCCTCTTCATTCCCATGATGACTTCGATGCATATCCCGAATTGCTTTGCAAGTAGCACCCATCATTTTAGCTGCTGGAATGATTTATTTTTAAAAGGTAAAAATTTTTTTTTTGTTTCCATTTAGCATATTTTAATCCCGTTAAACACTTATTTGTTTTATTGTTGTTAATTTGATTGTAAATTGTAAAGCAATCTTAATACAAGCAATCACCTTTTTTTAGATAGACATATACTTTATAAATAGACAATTTCCCGGTGTGCATGCTTTAATAACACTTAGAAACTTTTTGTCGGTAAAATTGTGATAGATAGTTTTTTCCTCCTTTAAAATATTAGATATGGTGGATTCTGAAGATGAGCCACAAGAGGGCAAAAGTAGATAGGACGTCCGGGTACACATATGAAAGTGTAGATTGGTCAATATGTATATTTTGCCAAAAAAAGAAGTACAAAGGAGTAAAAGAGCTTATAAGTGTTGGCAGCTTTGATTCTTGTCAAGCAATTGTAGATGCTGCCATTGCTCGCGATGACCAGCGATTGCTTTTAAATATCAAAGTCGTCGATTTGATAGCGGAAGAAGCGAAGTATCACGGAAAATGTCGAAGCAAATATGTCAGTAACACAAACCTTAAATGTCTCAGTTACAAGGAAGACAATAAAGAAATAATATTCTGTGGCGTTTGCTATGTTAGTGAATGAAATTACTCCTGGGTTATCTAAAGGAAGGATTTATGACATGCCTGGGCCATTTGCTAGACCGCTATAAGCAGGTATTGAAAGTCAAAGGCATTTCTTGCAGCAATTATCGCAGCGAAAAGCTCAAAAGCAGACTGAGAAGCCATTTCTTAGACCAAATAGTCATCGAGAAGCAGAACGACCCTTCGAAGTCCGAATTAATTATTCCAGTCATTTGTCTGAAAGTGAAGAATGATCATCGCAGTAAATTTTCCACTTTAAGCAATTGGAAAGAAGAAGCCTGAAAAAAATCAGGGCTTCAACGGGATTCGAACCCGTGACCTCCACGTTACCGGTGCGTTGCCCTACCAACTGAGCTATGAAGCCACACATTGGGAACGAGTCATTTGTCATTTGTCTGTTGCAAACATAGTAAAAACATCAGTCTCCCAGCAGTCCAGTGAAGATTTTGAGGTCGATGAGAACACGAGACAGTATATGGAACAGGATAAGGCTACCATTTCGTACCAAGCAGCCCAGATAATAAAGAATGACATCAAACAATGCAAAGGTATTTCAATCAAGCCATTGTGTGTAGAAGATGTGTCCATAGAGAAGGGCGAGTGTACAATACCAGAACGTCCTTTACAGCTTTCTTTCAGAGGTTATCTACGCAAGACAAAAAAGTGTCGACCGTACCTACTCTTAGTGCTAAGAAAGGAAGACGCGTAGTTATGCTAGGTCAAGATATAATTCATGCCGCTACCAATAGTCAGGTGAAAACACCGAAACACATAGGTTTGGCTTTCACCATACATCATTTAACAGGGTCTAAGGAAGTCATGACTTTGTTAAACAGAATGGGGCACTGCTCCTCATATGATGATGTCGAAATCGTAAACACAGCGTGGGAAAGAGAGATGGAGGCATCAAACATCACCCCGGCCCATTTGTCCAATTCGTTGCCGACAATGATGACTTCAACGAGGAAACTCTAGATGGCAAACAAACCAACCACGCCACAATGCTAGTAATTTATCAGCGTTAGCCATTTGGACCCAAACTCCCACCGAAGATCCAGGCCGACCACTCCTCCAGAAGAAGATCTTTAGAGCAGCCAGTTCAGGGTCAACTCATGCACGAGTGTAGTGTGCATGGTAAGCGTCCTGCCTTGACCTCGTTTGTAGGAAGAGCAGAAGAGAACTTTGAATTAAGAAACGATTCCACAAAAACTCAGAATGTAAGAGAACTGGCATGGTTTCTGCTCAGGCTCATTAGAAAAAACGCATTGAAGGCCGATGATACTTATGGAGAGCAATCAGTTTCTGGATGGAGAGCATTCAATGTGGAAATATCTCCCATCACGTTGCCTCGTACCGTTATTGGGTACTGCCCGATGATTGCTGGATCGCCGACAGAGTACAGTACCATCTGCACGGTACTGAAAACCGTGCAACAAATGTCCAAACATCTCCAGCAGAGCACTGCAGTAATCACATTTGATTTGACAATTTATTCCAAGGCAAAAGAAATCCACTGGCGTTATCCAGAAGAGTTCCAAAACCATGCATAGCACTCAATTATTTGGCCTTGATTGGAAAGATGTTACAGGAGAGTGGCTTAGAGGATGGGTTCATAAGGTCTAGCCTCTACGGATCGAGCTCTACTATGGCACTATTGCAGGGAAAATCGTACAGGAAGGGAATTTGAGGACACAAATTGATTATGGAGGCGCTACTGCGTTTGAAATGGGAGGCATTTTGCCCATGAGTAAGTAAAGGAGGAGGTGGAGGAGTCGAAAGCGAAGGAGGTTCGATTCTAAATCTCGTTAACTCTATCATAGTTCGCTACAGAACAACAACAACAGCTGAAGAGAAGAAAGAGGCCTATTTGCTCCTTTGCAACACCGCCACCTGTTTTGAGGACCTATTGCCGATGCGGTTTAAACAAGAATCGTCATCGAAACTTTACAAGCTTTGGGACAAGTATATCAAGAAAATTCTCCTTCTTCTAGAGTTCATTCGAGCAGAACGAGAGGGTGACTGGGAGCTACATCTAAAGGTTACAACAAAGATGATTCCCTATTTTTTTGCAATGGTCAGTGTATATTATGGATATGCGCTATCTGCAAGAAAAAGCTCTAGACGTCTACAACGAGTTCGTTAGAGGGAACCATACTATCAGAAGGTCAACATCATAGTCATTTAACCAAGTCTGGACGGACATGGCTCTCGAACAGAGCATTAACCTTGACAGAAAAACTAAAGGTGGCCAGCAACCACAACTGCTACCAAAAGTGTGATAGATTTGGATGAATCTACAAGAAGTACAGACAAGGAATCGCCAAAAGTCAAAGTTCAAAGAGACGAAATGACATCAAAAAGGTCACACATACTCTGCAGACATTGATGTCTAATCCCTTTGATGAAGATGCATACAGAGAGGACGTTCCACTAATGACCCTTGCTACAGGAGTAGTTATGCCAGAGGAGATATCAGAGCAACTTATTGATGCCCCATGTCTAGGAGCAGCGAGGATGAAGTTATTTGGGAGCAAGTGTATCAATACCAATGAAGTTGGGTTTTGGTACAACAGCAGATGATGTAAGGTACACTCATGGTCAAATCATGAATTCTACGTAACTTATTAGTTAAAATGCATGTAAAGAGCTGGGTACTGGGTGTTCTGTAAGAGAAAACAGAAAAACGATGGACTGCTGCCCACCTCTGATGGTCTCCTGCTGCACATTCAGTGTGCCAATCACCAGGCAATGATTCGGAAGCCATGTCTGCAAGCCTTTCAGCAATTACCACAGCCAGTGGGAAATGGGTGGGAGAAGGGCGATGATGGCTACCTGAAGCCCCCTCTGATTACCAGGGATGCTGCGCCAAAGGGATTAGCAGAGTTCACAGTCTGCAAACCATAAAGACAGCCTGCAAGTCGGCTTCTTGTGTTTGTAGAGTCAATGAGTTATCGTGCACAAAGGCTTGTGCTTGCATGGCCTATGATTGTGAAAATCCTAACACTGGTTTTGATGAATTAGAGTGTCCGAGTGATGGTGAGGAGTAGGCTGTCAATTAGTTGTAGTTATGCTTTTGAAGTGAAATGCAGATGGGAAAGAGCCTGTAATATATGATTGCTATTGAACCTACGGCACACAATCATGTGGTTTCTTTCGCTTGAATAAAGACGTTGGTGACAGACAAATCTATAGAATATGCGGTTTCTTCAGTTTCTTCTGTGGCCACAAAATCAATGGTAATTACTTTGATTCGATACAAAACTCATTTAAAAGTAATTAAGGGAGTCATTCTGCATTCTTCAAACCGGCTAAAAAAATTCTTATTTCATATTTCTATTAACTTTTGTTTCAAATTGCTTATTTGACCCACATCTCTGTTCGATCTTCTTTAAAAAGGGGCATGGCATACAAAAAGTGCATCTTAGCAGCCGTTGCCATGGAAACAAGGATCACTTTGCGAAATGTTATAAAATGAAAGAGCTTTAAAAGTTACATGACTTACCAAAGTTTCATCATCAAACAATGTTTAGTCTTTAAGATATTACGTTATTATTGATATTAGACCCCATGGACAGACTTTCCTTATTAACCGTTACCATGGCAATGTAAAAAAGCACAAAATACATCTGAGATAATTTGTAGCTCTTAAGGATTAACATGTGTCGGCCAAATACTAACCCATTTGCCTGATTAAGTAAAAAGATATGATTTTTCAAAGTTTTGCACCTATACGAAAATGCTGAAAATACCCCCAACCCCCTCAAAAATCGCAGTGTACCAAGTCACTGACCCCTCAGTTTGTAGATCTGCGTGTTGAATAAGTAATCTATGGGTATTTGGCTATCTGAATCTGTTGTCAAACCTTTTGTGTGGTGGGGGTGCTGTGTAACCCATTTTTGGGGCCTCTATTAGAAATCTGCTCCCCGACTACACTGGCTAACTAGGGAAATTACTTACTTCAACTAATAATGCTAGTGTTACCAGTTATAATATGTATGATTAGTACCAAAAATATATTTTTAGTTTCCTCCGAATATACAGTCAACTTAATTAAGGCATATAAAATTTCTTTACAATCTTGTCAAATCTATTTTTTGGGATCAGTTAAGCCTGAACTTCATTCTAGACATATACCTACTCCAACCTCATTTCTTAGAAAATGGAAGAGGTGGCCCTCCCATTATCTATGGAAAAAGGCCTGATACCTACTTTATTGACAGTACACAACCCTGAAAATTCCATGGAGTTATCATCAGCTTCCCCACAAGCACCTGCAAGTCACTAATTTGCCTTATTTATTCACAAGTTCATCTAATAGTTTACATGAGCATTGATTAGGCAAGACAACTGATTGCTGATTGGGTGGGGGCGGGGGGTTAAGGGAGGGCTTTAAGTTATCCCTCTTATCTGCCATTTGGGATAGTTCACAGCAGCACAGTTTGAAAGATAATAAATTTACCTGCAGTCATCAAATAAAACAAAGAGAAAGTTAGAGAAAAATACAAAAGATGCAATTGAAATAGGCCATAGAAACCCTACTGCTTATGATGGACATGAATAGCAGTGATGAGGTTTCTGCCAGCAAAACAAAGTCACCACCAGCCGCCTCAAAGGCAAATCTCATTTGAGGTATAAGATCCCCGATTAACGGGGCAAATATTTAAAAATAGGAGGGGAAACCAAGAATTTTTAAAAATTTTGAAATGGCTTGGGTAAATGACCAAGAAGAGACAACTCAAAGATTGTTTCCTTGAAGGAACACTATTCATTATCTATTTATTTATTTATCAGATTTATTTGTTGTTGTTGTTGTTGTTGTTGTGTTTTCATACCTTGCTTCATACCTGGTAAGGTCTCGTCAACTCCAAGAAAGCAGAAATAATAATTCAACATGGGTCTTTGATGCATGACGCATGGAGGTCGCATATTGAAAATATAGCTCGAAGAAAAATACCAAGATATATAAAATATCAGAAAGTCCACAGCGACAAACCAATGAGTGGTGCCGGATCTCCCAGATGTAGACCTGGACCGGTAAAATAACAACTTGAAGAAAAATATAAAACGGCAACTGATCCTTACGGCAAGACGATGAAGAAGTAAACAAAAGAATAAAGCAAAAAATATATATTGAAACAAATTTGCCCAATATTTCGGTTTGAAAACAAACCTTCTTTAGGGGCCAGAAGAAATTTGAAGATAAAACTAAAAGTTCGTAAGAAGTCAGTGTTTGAAAATATGACAATAAAACAATAAAAACAATGGATTCTGGAGAAAGACCCAGGGATGTGCGTAATTCATTGGAAATGGTACAATCTTTATATCCCACATTTGTAAAAATACACAATTAGAAACTTTAAAAAGGAAAATAAATCAAATAAATCAATGGATGCATTTACAACTGAGCTTAGGGGCAGAACATTTTTCTCATATTCACTATTCTACGCTCTTTGGGATTAGTAGGTGTGAATAAAAACAACCACCGCGAAAATCCCCGAGAGAACTTTGAAAAATCTGTCACGTCTGTTAGTCACGCAATCTCAACTTCATCCGCCTTCAGTGTGTTATATTTTGCTGTTGCACTTACTTACCAGACAAAATACAAAAAAGCTAAATCAGAACTTAAGTAATTCGCTCTAAGCCAAATAGAATAGCCTTTTTTTTCCTGTAGGATTTAAAGCAAATTAGTGTTAATTCACAACGGCGAAGATGACTTTAATATGTATCCTTCATTCAAGTGAAAGGTTTCCTTCTCGCTATCAGATCGCTCTCAGTAATAAAACTTTACGTTATCGAGTTACCTGGATCTTTTGGATAGTATTCTGAGGCAGAATGGATGAACTGGGAGCATGATTGTTTCGAAAGACCACCTCGACATGAGATCACAAGTCCTGCGAACGGATCCAAGAGCACATCGCCTGGCCGACAGGTCAAAGCCATGGATGCCTTTTCCAAAAGCATTCGTCGACGTCTTCGTTGAGACACTTTTCCAACTTAAAAATATACTGTGAAGCGGCATTTTAAAATATACTTTGCGATGTCACTGACATCGAGAAGAGTTCTTCGACGAGCATGAAAGTGACATGAGAAATGTACATATGGTTAATTTCTGTCAACCGGGGAAACATTTTGCATCTTCCCGCCAAATTTCACCTGGGGAGTGGGGCACTGGAAGTTTGGAACAAAACCATTATGGAACATAAACTAGCCTGCATAAACAAAAAACAATCAAAGTAAATTTAGTTTTGAGAATGCATTTTCAAGAAGAAGAAGCATTATTTTGCAAAGCATCCAAAAATTTTCGTTGGTGATAAGGGACCCAGTGGAGTGGAGTGGGGCAATTCAAGGAACTCGACCCAGTACTTCTCTCCGTATTTCACCATCAACATGCAAGCTTCTTGAAAAGTATAACAACTTTTGCATGATGAATTCCGCCAATTTACGGAGTGATTCAACCGTCCAAGAACCTCTCATTTTCGTATAAGTTTAAAATTTTCAATTGTTACTTTTCTGTGACAGAACATGACGGAAATCGAAGAGCAATTGTTAAACGCCGACGGCGAATCGCATGAGTTTCACACAACAGAAAACCATGGGAGTCAAGGGAGAATTTCAAAGAGGTTCATTCTGGTGATAGCATCCCTAAGCACTTTGTTTGACTGTTTACTGATGACCGTCATTGGTAAGAAAATAATATTTTCTCACTTCTAATTTACAAGAGTACCGGTAACTTGCGTGAGATTGCTCTGGAGGAGAATTAAATGATGAGTGCCAAAATCATGAAAAAAAAACATAGAACCCTGCCTTTTTTTAAAGAGATCTCTTGCCTATGATGTGATCCATTTTTATTTCCATTACTGCATGCTACGATGACTTGATGAAGAAATGAAATGAAGGGGTGAGTTGTCAAGATAAAACCCCGCCCCACCCCCGTCTGATTTTTTCTGAGGGGAGGGGCCGGCTGTACACAGGCTAAGATAAACAGGCCATTTATTTAACACTTATTTCATTCACAACCAACTAACATTTACCATATTTGGAAGATCCGTGTTTGACAATATCAATGCAAGTAACATTAATTGGAACAGATAATCAACAGAAAAAGGCACAAACAGTGAAGTCGCTCTGCTGTTTCGGCATAGCAGAGCTGGAGAAAATGGTGGAAGATTATAAACAATATTCATGAATATTAGATGAGGTTTGTGTGATAAATATATCAAACTCAAGCTAGGCTTATAACACTTACCGAGACCTTGATTATTCCAGATATCACCAAAACCAAATTTGATAATTGTTTTATATTGTACATTGTTTTGAGGAACATGACAACAGCAAACTGTTGCATGGAATAAAGTTTTAAAAGCATGCCATTCTAGTTTGAGTTATAAACCAGATATAACGACACAATACTCCAATACTGACTGTTTTCCAAAATATCAGTAAGAAAGTGCCTTCTTGTGATAGGAGTCACAGATCATCAATAATTTTGTTCTAATATACAGCCAATTTTATTATTTTAGTGCCTATTCTACCAGTGTACTTTAGTACTGAAACTAGTGAATCACAAAGTGCTAACAGTTCAACACAGAACAGCTCATCTAATACCATTTCCTTGTCAAGGGATTCATCCTTGGATTTTAAGATGGGAGTATTATTTTCTTCAGAGGCCTTTGCTGAAGTGAGTTAAACCTAAGACAGTAAGTGCCAATATCCACATAAAATTCTCTCAACCGTCTGCTATCATCACACAACCAATGATCAATGTCAAACTTGCTTGAAAGGGCAATACAATTATTGTTTCATTGTGACCTCTATTTTATTGGAAATACCTGTACTGAGTCTCATTGAGGATATAACCAGAATTTTTCAAAGACTACTGCATTCAGTGGAAGATACCTTTGAATATGGGGACTGAGGACAATAGCACAAGGTGGTTGTTGCTTATGGCAATTAAACCAAGTTGTATAACAAGGAAATGGCTATAATTCATTTTTGTTTGATAATTTGGGCCAGAAATGATCAGATTTTCACTTGTGTTTAAATTACATTTAAGAATACCGGTAATAACTTTCTTGCTTTATTGTAACCTTGCAGATTTTGGTGAGTCCATTTGCAGGGTCTCTTATAGAAAGGTACAAATATTTGACTCATTCTTCTTCAATGGCTAAAGATTGAGTTTTCCGACCATGAGTTCATTCCAATTTGATTGTACAGGCTGTAGTAAACAGTAGTCCAACCTTAGGTAAAGAACCACCAAGTGTCTGTTGCACAGAGGTTAATCATTAAAGCCTGGTTTCCATATGATCACTACAATCGCTGTGATCGCTGAGAAAAAAAAAGATCAGCGATCGCAGTGATCATTGGGATCATATGGCAACCACTTTCCAGCAATCGTAGCGATCGCAGTGACAATGATCGCTGATATAGAACTTTTTCTATCTCAGCGATTGTTGTCACTTCGATTGCTGCGACGGCTACAATCCCTGGAAAGTGGTTTCCATATGATCGCTGTGATCACTGCAATTGCTGAACTTTTTTTTCTCAGCGATGGCAGCGATTGTAGCGATCATATGGAAACCAGGCTTAAGTAGCAAAAGAGCAACAAAGTGTGATGTGACAAAAATTCAAATCTGTGACATTATGGAATTGATTGGCATATTCAGAAAGAACAAGGTGAAAAATGCCGACTTGCAAGAAATTAGTGTGTTAGTGCAAATACGTTGGTGAGATATATAAGCAACACTGTGCTCTGATGAATCTTTTTTTACAATTTTCTTTTATTGTTTTTGCCACACAAAATAAATTACAGTAAGTAGAATGATAAGCATAATAAATAGATAAATAACATTAAATTAAAACTAGTAAACAAAAGGGAAGGTGGCTGTGGTAAGAAAATCTCTGAGGCGCCCAACATTCCACTTTCGCCTCAATGTACTGGGATCAATAACAACGACAACATCTCCAACCTGCAAATTGCTGTTACGGAAGTACCATTTCTGTCTTGATCCAATCTGTGGTAAGTATTCTTTCACCCATTGGTTCCACCCATGTCTTGTGAGCTCTTGTAGTCTTCTCCAGCACTTTCTGGGATTAAATGGCTCAGAGTCAACACTCCCCGGTACAAAATCACCACCCATCTGTCCGATCAGAAAGTGATTTGGAGTCAAGACGTGGTCGCTTAAATGCACTCTTCACGTCCTTGCTTAGTTAAGAAGGTCCTCCAAAGTCAACTGCACAGTTCTCGAAAGGTCTGGAGGATTGCTGCAGTCTAATCTTCCATAACGGCGCCATTTGCTGGTGAGCTGACTATGATCAAAATCGTCTCGCACACTCAAAACATTCTCTCATGACTCTTTTCACTTGTTCACAAACATGGACCACTAGGTATTTCTCCCGTACATGATTAATCGTATAGTTAACACCCTTACGTGGTAGTACTTAATAACGATCAGTCCTGTGACGTGATTCCTCTTAGGCAGTATGATTGGACACTTAACACCATATGGGAGATTGTCCGCATGTCGTAGTCTGGTGTTGGACCTCAAAATGCCATTAACTAATACTGAATTGAACGGTGCCAATGTACTACCTCTTAAGATTTCCTTGTGCCTTCTCAATGGCTGATCTCTGCTGCATACACTTTGGACTGAACTCCCTGAATGATAACATTAATTCGTCAGCGTTTTGAAGCTCCAATGGCTTCAGTTCACCCTTCTCTTTTTGCTCAGCTGGTTTCCTGCAATTGTCTGTAAATCAGCATACCCACACTGTTACACGAACTGAAGACAACCCAATTTCCAGTTCTCCTTTTGTTTTGACTCAATACCATTTCAAGTATCTTGAGGGGTTCAATCGCCACACCTCTCCGACTCTAACCGTTTCTTCACCTTCTTCAATTATCTGGTAACTGGTAGCATCCTTTGTTCCTGTTTCTTTTGTTCAGCCTTTAAGTTCAAGGTTCTCTGTTGACATTGGCTTGTCAAACTTGCTTTCTGGCCAGTCTTGTCTTGACTTCTTCAAAAATTCAGGCCCATTCCACCACAAGTCGGAGCTTGCTAACTCTTCTACTGTCAGGCCTCTTGTTCCAAGGTCGGCGGGGTTTACATTTGTAGGAATATACTACCACTGATTAGGAGCAGAGAACTTATGAATTTCTCCAACACGATGGGCTATGAAGAGCTTATACTCTCTACTCTGACCTTGGATCCAGTACCCCACATTCATACTGTCCACCCAATAGGTCACTCCATTATAGCTATCTTGAGTGTAGAGCAAACTTGTCTTGTTAATAATTGTAATCCGATGAGTGCGCCCAAAAGCTCTAATCAGGGGATGCTCACTACTTTCAAAGGTGCAAGTGTAGACTTCAACATAATCAATTGAGCAGTAATGTTGCCACCCTCATACACATGACGTGTGTAAACTACAGCTGTATATGCGTCCTCTGATGCATTACTGAATGTATGAATGCTCAGTTCTTCCACCTTTAATAGGACTTGGGTCTTTCAAACACCTTGGGTTTTTGTACAAGTTCAAGGTCTTCCAGTAAGTGGTTTCAACAATTATTGTTGAAACCACTTTGTCCTTTCTCGCTAATGATGTGTTGGCAACAGTTCATCCCAATCCCGTGCCTTCAGCCAAGCCTTTGGTATCAACAACTTGGACTTGATTACATAAGATGATAGGAAGCCTAATGGGTCGTAAATTGTTGCTGTTTGTCTCAAAACATTCCTCTTGTTGAATTCAAATCCATCTAACTGTAATGAGTGTCTAAAGGAAAATTTGTGATCTGTGGCAGTTCAAAAGACACCCAGAGTCTTGGTTGTTGGCAATTCTCTCTTCTCTTAGTCTATCTCAGAAGCCCTATATTCTTCCGCAATGCCAGCAATTACATCCGGTTCATTCAAGATCCATTTGCGGATGTGAAAACCAGCCAAGTTCCTTAGTTCAGTAAATGCTGCTTTCTTGTTTCCTTCACCTCATCAGATGGCATCTGATCATCCATGTAACAGTGTTCTAGAACTTAGCTCCCAATGGGTAAGTCTCCTTGTGAAGTCTAGCATGGTGTTGCCAAGCAAACTGACACAAAATGGGCAGTTACACCCTCCAAAAACAAACCTCTTAAACTTGTAAACCTTTGGTGTATCCCCACTGCCAAAGTTCCTGTACAAGAATGCAGGGGCCTGTCCACTGGTCTGGGAAGTATCTGGTGATACATTTGGCTCACATCGCCAGCCAAGGCAACTAGCTCCTTTCTAAACTTAATTAAAATGTCCACAATATCACTTTGCAACTTACTACCCGGTAGTGATTCACTGTTCAAACTTTCCGTTTTGCTGAGCTGAGCCATTGAAATGAACCCGAACTTTGGTTGTGGCCTACTCTGGTCTCACCATAGGGAAATGCAGAAGGAACCTTTCTGATGGTGGTTTCAGCTCTTCCTCTGGGACTTCTCAGATATATCCTTTACTTAAGTAGTCATCAACCACTGATTGGTAAGCCTGTGCCTGCTTCTCATCTTGCATTAACTTCTTCTCGACTGTATGAAGGTGTTTCTCTGCCATCTCTCAGTTTGGCGGTAATTCTGGTCTTTCATATTTCCAAGGCACAGCAACTTCATATCTCTCACCATCAAACCTGATTGACTCGTTCACTTTATCAAAGGCTAGTTTCTCTTTGGGGAAAAGTGGTTGCTTCACCTCAAGGCTCCAAAATTGTTTCAGCAGATAGTTCAGATCTCCATCACTGCACTGTGACCACTGTATGCAATAGGTGTTCAGGTAACCAGTGTTACTAATGCTCCATGTCCCTCAGACGTACCAATGGTACCAATAATTGCTGTCCACCCTAATGGACACAGTCTGGCACTAGGTTCATTGTCACCTCCACGAACCACTTTCATAGGAAACAGCAAGTTGTTATAATCTGAACCAATAAAAACATCGAGTTTACTCTACTCTATTTACTGATCTTTGATTCGCAGCCAGTTGGTGGGTTTCATCCCACCACAGATGATATTTGATGTCTTTGCTACAATGACTGCGTCCACCCGACCATCCAGACGCTCCAAACCAATCTCCATCGTTGCTGACATTAAATTGACCTTCTGACCATTAGCAAAATTGATAATTACTTTTTCCTTCACACCATCCAACCCCAGTTCCTCTACCACATCCTCGTTAACATACAACAAATCACTGCCTTTGTCCGAGAAACAATTAACTTGCAAACATCTGTCCCCATGTTTCAGAATGACCAGAACAGTACACAAGGCAATACTCCTCTGTGCATGTTCTTGCATTGTTTCATATGTACTGGACTTGTTTTCCTCTGTCAGGGGTGTGTCAGCCTTGCCTTCCCCTCCATGGACCCAAGAGCTACTTTCTCCTCGTGAAGTAACCAATGGTGTCTGTCCTTGCATCTGTCAATTTCACACTCTCCGCTTCAAGTACATGAGTCACTAAGCTGCCCTTTCCTCATGCAACGGTAACACAGTCCAAGTTCCTTTGCCGTCTCCCACTTCTTTTTATGTTCCATTCCCTTGAACACATCACATTTCCAAATAGGGTGTTTTTGGTTGCACACTTTGCAGGGACGATCACGTTTCTCTTCTGTGGTCCCATGAGCCTTTGTTGAGCTCTTTCCCCTTGCGTTTCCCGCACTGGACAAACCATGCTTAATTTCTGAAGCCTGTACCTGGTACTCAGCTTCCTCAGCAACCTCAGTAGTGACGCAGCTCTTCAAGAGACTCCATGCTTCCCTTTTCTTTAATCCATCAGTAGTACTGGCTAAGTAGAGATTGAGGAAGTTTTTCCAGTACAATTGCATACAATGTTCCTCCTTCCAGGTCAGCAAACGTCTTACTTTTCTTAAAGAAACCACGGTCATCTCCACCATGTCAACAAATCTTTCCAGCTCTCTTGGATTATCAGCGTTTATTGGCCTCATCTTACGTAGCTCATCAATATGGGCTTGAACCTGTCGCCTGTTTCTCCTATACTTTTGATTCAACCTTGCCTTAGCTGCTCTGTACGCATGATCCAAGTAACCCAGTCCTTTCACCGTTTCAGCTGCCTCCCCTTCTAAACAACTTTCCAGCCACAACATTTCAAACTGAGCTGACAAATTTGTTTCATCCACACAACTGGAAAACGCTGACCACGATGAATGATATTCTTTCTTGTCGCCCGAAAATTTTGGGCTTTGAATCCGCTCGAGCTGTTTGTTTGCATCGACCACGTGACCATCTTTGCCATGTGCGCTTTCAAATGTTTCGCCCTGGCTTGTGTTATTTCCTTCGCTTTCCTTGCTGTTACTTTGCGATAAGAAAAGCTGAGCTTGAAACCTTTGTCTCGTTATCCACATGATCTATCATTTTATCTGCTTCATCACCTGTTGAAGCTGCCAGTGATGCATGCTTATTTTCTCTCTGCAAGGAATGAAGTGAGTCCAACAGCTCCAACAATTCATCCCATCACTTGTCGATATCTTGTAGTTTTGCCATGACATTTTCCTTGTTTGGCATTTTCATTGATAATTCTGCCGTTAATTCGTTCAGAAGCTTCATAATACTTGTCTTGAGGGTTCTTTTCTTCCTTCTTTAACTCTTCTATTTTGCATCCATAATTCCTCCAGTTTCAGTTCTCAATAGACTTCCCGCCAAATGTTTGCCAGTTTGAACGAGTCCCTTGCAAATTTCACCATACTGGTTCCAATTACAGTTCAATGATCACACCAATGCGAATATCCGGTTTCCAAAGGACCAAAATGTAAATTCCATTCAAAGACTGTAAGCTCTTAAATCTTGACAAGTCTTGCGTCAAGTTCCATAGAAGAGTCTAAGTTCAACAACGTCACATGACATAAACACATGATAATTGTCACAATGTACATAATGTAACATAACTCTAAGTGTCACTGGTGGAGAAAAAGGGTGGTTGATGTTGGAAGGTCTCCAGATTTTAGGTCTTTAGAGGTTGTCATCTCTGAGTTAGACTAGGTTTCTTGATCACATGTTCTACTTATAATATTATGCTCATTGCAGAGTTGGTTACAGTGTTCCATATTATGGTGGTTGCTGCATCTTAGTTTCTTCATGCCTTGGTAATTATTTTGCTGAGTATTTTTTAATCAGGTTTTTTTAATAAGGTCACATTCCTCAGATGTAGGCGCTTGCAGCTTATGTCTCAAGAGAATGGTTACTTGAATGCTGACCTTTAGTGAACGTGACCTTATTTTAGACCTGCCAATTTAATAGACGTTGTGTTGTTCCAGACAATATCCACACCCACCTTTGCAGTGGCATTTACACCCTCCTCCCCTTCAGAATTTTCAATTTAACCTCCGGGGGTGGGGAGATATTTTCTGGAACCACCCAGCAGTGAGACATTTTTAAATCATAAAAGTGACCTGTGATTTCACAAACCATTATTCATAAATGATAATCGTATTATGTTTTTCAGTATATGCTTTTGCAGAGAGTTATGGACTTCTCTTGTCAGCTCGTGCTATTCAAGGAGTTGGCTCATGTGTTAACCGTATTTCTAGTAAGCAGTTAGCTCAGAATACGATTTATCAACGGATCAAATCATACTATCAAATTGTAAACAACAGAACCTCGATATAACAAAGGGCCAAGCGACTGGCAAAATATGTTTGCTCTAACGAGGTTTTGTTATATCGAGGTTCTTTTTCATATGTTTTACTATTACTGGGGTAAAGAAAATCATTCACTTATACCAGGGAGTTTGTTAAATAGAGGTTTGCTTCCAAAATAATGGTAACTGTAAGATCAGCCCTTCGGCTTGTCATGCCACTGCTGTTAAGCTGTTTTTTCCTTCACAGCTAAAAAAAGTAAGACACTTACTTTTGCTTTCTGAGATGATGACGATGACGTACTTTTGTATAGTATCTGCCTCCAACCTGTCATACTCTCAGGAGAGCATGACCTTAACTTGTGATCCAACTATGTTTACCATGAATTACACACTCTGATTGACTTTAATCCCATCCCTGGCTAATTCTTTATGACCAGATGTCTCATCGATATATATGACACCTCAATGTAAAATTGCTTTCCCCATTTCCAGGAATTATTGAATGAGGCTTTCATAATGATATGAATTAAGTATTTTTCAGATCTCGCACAGGCTGTTCTCTCAGCTTTCATAATTCCTCATCAGTATCATACTCAGTCTAATTTAATTGCAGTTGTTGTTAATTAATAATTATCTTTATTATTTTACTTGACAAGGTATGGCAATGCTTGCAGCGTCCTATCCCGATGATGATGAACGTGGAGCAGCTGTAGGCCTAGCTATGGGAGCATCAGCTCTTGGTGTCCTTGGTACCTATAAATATTATACTTTAAAAATAATAATATTTATTAACTTGTATAGTGCTAATTATTATTATTAAATTATTATTATTATTATTATAAATATCTATATACATATTCATTAGTGTTCTCTACTATCTACCACATGTGATAACAAAGTTACCCAACTCAAAATTCAAAATAAAAAATTCCAAATTCTTTCAAAGTCAAATGATTGGAATCCTGCAAAAGTGTTACACGTACCAAAGAGGTGTTAATTTCAAGAATGGCCACACTGCTAGAACCTGTCCTCAGGCTCAAAATTAAGAATACATTTTAACAACAGCTCAATGAACACAGGTAGTGTCGGGGTAAGGGTTGAGGTTGCAATACCTTTAAACATCTTGCCCGGGTTGTTCAAACATTGGATGGCACTATCTACGAGATATATCACTATCCAGCAGATAAGTATTGAGGAAACCAATTGCACTATCCAGTGGATAGATATTTATCCTATGGATAGCGTTATTCATCTTTTGAACAATTGCTGGGGCCTGCACTTCCGCAAATTTAACCCTTAGCTTGTGCATAATGAGCATTAGCTAATTAGACCAAACTGACTAGTTATACACAATATTGATTGACTTATTTGCTCTTTTTTTTTCCCTGTACATGTATCTATCAGCTGGTCCACCTATTGGTGGATTGCTTTACAGTCTTGGCGGCAAGGGACTTCCATTCTTCATACTTGCTGGCCTCTTTGTTGTAGCATTTGGTTTGTATTCTCAATAATGTTTGTTAACTCTATTAAAGTTACTGTAAATCATCTACAGTCAAACGTCTTTAATACACTCACCAAAGGGACAGAACCAATTGTATGCTTTACAGAGGTGTCCGTATTATAGAGGTAGGGAATGTATGATTTTTGGCATTTCTGGGACCAAATGAACTGTCCGTAATAGAGAGGTGTCCGTATTATAAAGGTGTCCGTGAGGAGAGGTTAGCCCGTATTAAGCGTCCCAGGGGCTTATTTATTTCAAGCACATTTCAAGGGGGCTAGATAGAGAGGGGGGCTTTAATTTGAGAGGGAGAAGGTATTAATTAGCAGCAGAGATGGGTCAATTCTTTATGAAGAACTAGAATCGGCAAAGTGGAAATGCTCAGGCTCATAAAGTTGGAGGTCATACAGCCAAAGATAAAGAACAAATCCAAACTTCCAGCATGTGAATAAATCACACTGGACCAGTCTTTGTGAAGTGTTACAGTTTGATTGATTATTAAATACATCATTCTATCATAAGAATACTTGGGGGAAGGGGAGTGGGGGGCTTAATTAATTTCTTCCCCTGAGATGGGGGGGGGGCTTATTAGAGAGGGAGGCCGGGGGCTTAATAGAGGATTTACTGTACTCGATGCTCTAACAGGCTCCTTTTTTTAAATTTAGAGTAATTTATTTTAGTAAATACCTTGATATATATGTGTCAATTTGCTGTTCCTCATTTTAAATCTTGGTAAAAAAGAATGTAATTTTTTCTGTGTTTGTCACAGACTCCTCTCACATTTTCTTGTTTTCAAAATTTCTTCTATATGCAGCTGATAATTAAATTTTGTGATCGATACATAAAGCTGTTATTGCCTATCCATCTCAGTGCTGGAATTTATTGCTGTCCGCAACATCTGTCAATAACCCAGCATCAAAATTTAGTAAATCATTTTTAGCCTTAAACAATGTCCAGTCTGGCCAAAAAGTATGAGCCTCTGCATGGATTTTTACAATAATTCAAAGTTGTGATGATTGCTACTGGTGCAGCAACAAACTAAGGGATGAAAAAGACGTCCGTCCGCTGATATACCCATACAGAGGCTTAAGTATGTTAGTAGTAATGTAAATAACCTTTTCCAAACATTGGCGTCTCTGTCACTAAAAAATTATCATTCTGCAAGAAAAACACTCAAAGTATTTCATAAATACAGCACTCCATTTGTTGTTTTATATGGGGGGAGGGGGGGGGGGGTAACTTAACATGGTCAAATATAGTGTGTGTACATTTGCTATAAAATTGTCTTTTTTCTTCCTTGATGTTAAAGGTCTCGTATTTATTGCTAAGAAACCAGTCATGCCAAAAGATGTAAGTGTTTCCTTTGACTTATCCTTCACTTTACTGGTCAGGAGTATTCTGTTTGGAAATGTTTTACTGTCTTCTCACAGAAGTTTACTGCTTTTGCAGTAGAATTTTTACTGTTTTCACTTGTAGCATTAAATCAGCAGCATTAATTAGCATTAAATATCGCTTAAATATTGCTGACCACAATATTGTGATAAAATCATTTGTAAATATTATGTAAAGCAGAAAAATGTTTAAAGTTCCATGTCACGTTTTTGCTGAGAGAGAATTGTGCTCGCCGCCTTTCTTTCAGAGATTGAAGGCCATAAAGCACCAAGCTTTGACCCAGCATGGACAATTAGTGCCTGATTTATTGTAGTTGTTACCTGAAAATAAAGCATTAACATTTGCATGTAGGTTTTAAACTGGCTAAGTTTTTGTCAGGGCTAATTCACCAATTTTGTGCAATGGCTTAGTTGTTAACAGAGCTCCCTATAATGTGAACAGGACGAGTCTTTTAACTGAAACAAACCTAACACAAGATTTCCTTTAATAATTAATTTGTTTTTCTTACAGACCGTAAAGCCTTCACTGAAGGACTTATTATCAGATCCTTACATTGTTATTGCTGCTGGTAAGTTGATCCTGCATTCGCGTCTACTCACAAAAACACTGACGCTCAGCTAACTATGGAGAAGAGCATAAAGCATCCATTCCATGCAGTCAAAACCACGGGTGGGGTCAACTCCATCTAATGAGCTATACAGAGACCCAAATGACAGATTTCCCTCCCCTTTCATATACTTCAGCTGATGAAATCCCTACCCTTTCATATACTTGAAGCCTAAAATAGGTACCCCTTTCGGGCGGAGCATAATCTGTGATCAAACTCTCCAGGGCACTCTGGCGGCAGGGTAAAAAAGGAGGGAGAGCGCACCGGAAAGTGGTACTTATTTTAGGCTTTAGGTATATGAAAGGTTAGGGATTTCGTCAGTTAAAGTATATGAAAGGGGAGGGAAATCAGTCATTTGGGTCTCCGAAAAGACCAAAAAGGGTCACGGCAGTGCCATATGTGGGACGCGTTCGTTTTCACCGATATTCTCATTCCTCCTCGAGGTACATTCATTGATCGCAGCCACCATCTTGTTTGCTTCCAATCTTCACACGGCTCTGCCGCCAAAAACCTGTGGCACTTGCCAGCTGATCTGGTCAGCTACGCAGGCTAGGCAGGCAAGGGGCTTCTTCTCTCCATTGATTATTATTTTTTGGCTAACCCCAACTCTTTGTCAGTTTCAACGGCCAAGGTGGCGGGCGAGCATGCATTAGTCTTAAAAACAGTATTATCGTGCGCGCTACAAAATAAGCCTGCTTCGCGAGCTAAGATGTTTTACCCGACATATTTTGGTTTCTCCTTGCCTCAAAATCCAACACAAGTTCCAGTTCAATCTGGAAGGCAAGAAAGTGTTAAAATGAGTTCGTGAGAGTTTTGTTAGGTAAACAAATTACATTTATTTACATTTGTTTTTCATCTAGGTGCCATCTGTATATGCAACATGGCATTTGCCCTTCTGGAACCCACATTACCCCTCTGGCTTTTGGAGACTATGAATGCAAGCCACTGGCAGATAGGTACGCCACCCATTACAGCAAATTCTCCTAGCAAAGGAATACACTGTGATTAATTAAATCAACTGGATCTCTTCTGTTACCATTTTTCAGGATTGATTGATGTATTCACTGATTGATTGATTGATTGATTGATTTTAATGACAGGTGTTATTTTCCTGCCCTGCACTGGAGCTTACCTTGTAGCATCTCCTCTTTTAGGAAAATTAGGAAACAAGATTGGAAGGTTTGTACCGGAAATATTTCACTTTTTCCCCTTCAGTGCAACTTATCCCAGCTAATAGAAATCACTTTAAGTGTCTCCTAGCCCTAAACATAATTCGAAATAGAGTTTTAACTTAAGGGGAATCTGATTATCTCAGGTATTTCTCAATAGAGCGGTGACCTGCACTTGTGATCAATTACGATAATATTTTCGCACAAGTCACCAGGACAGTTATAAGATTTGGTTTAGGGAAAAACATTGTGTGGGGCTAAATTCAATCATTCTGGTCTATAACTTACCGTAGCGTTAACTTATTACTTCACTTCACTTTGTTGATATTATAGAGAGAAGTCGTTACGTCACGTTGCCATGGTAGCAAAATTTCTTGATCTTAACAAACCGCGGTCCTGCAAATATTGCAAAAAAAACGAAAAAATTGACATGCATGACTTTCCTGTGCGTGGTTGCACTCAGGAACAAAACAGTAGCCAATACTGTTATCCATCGTTCAACAATGCAAATGGCCTTCTCTGTCAAGAAAGATTGTGGAGTTCCAGAAAGTTTACCACTATGTTAACGTAACGTCACACTTTTGAAAACTCTCTATTGAAAACTTAACATTTCTTCGCTGTCCACAAATACCGAAGACTAACTGTAGTGGGTAATGATGAAAGCGCGCCTAGTGCATCGATGAGTCATATAAACGAGTGGAATTTTGAAGACAACAAGAGAAAGAATAGCGGCGCACAAGCATTTTTTGTGCCATACAAGACAGAACGTAACAAGTTCGAGCCCAGTTCTTTACCGTGAATACTGTATTCGAGATGGCAAACTCGCACATACTCTGTTGCCAATATTGCCAGAGGAGTCCTGGGTAGTAAAGTGCATCCAGATACGTGTCAGATGATACGTGTGGACGGGCAAATTCGATTTGAATCCGGATACGTGCGGACGTGGAAATTTTTGAATGCGCAAAGAAAAAGTTGCGGATTCAAAAATATCCGGATACACGTGGACAGGCCTTATTTTCTTCAAAGTCACTGGGCCTTTTTGGCGTTTTTTTTTTGTCTCTACGCGCTTACTGTCTAAGAACTCGATGGATCTAAGAGAAAAGGCAGACTTTAAGCAGTCTCCTTTTAATATGTAGCCGTTATTTTACCGGTAACGCAACGCTGGAGGAGAAAGGTTGCGTGACCAGACAAGTAACGGCTGTGCCAGGCAGTCGGTTCAAATACAAATTGATATCCTGCTTGTCCGTTTTTCAGATGGCGTGCAGCTTTAATTGGTCTAGTGTTGGTTGCCATTAGCATGCCAGTGGTACGTATTTCCTTTTGTACCTTAATCAAAAGAAGCATTCTGATTTGCTTACCGAGTGGTTCTTGGTTTCGAAAGATCGTTGACATCTTCTGCGCGTTTTTCATTGCTTACGCTGCTAGCAAAGTAGGGTGACAGGCGCTAAACATGGACGGAAAAAAGGTAAAAAAAATCGCGCTTCCTCTAAGTTCTCACCCTCTCCTAGTGAGGGCCTTACTACAGACTACAATGCAGGTCATAAACCCCTTAAGCAGTCATCAAATACCTTCTTTCTGACACTTCCCTTCGCCCCTCTAATGAGAAACAGTCACTAGAGCTGGATAAAAGTCAGTAGGGACCTTACGATCTGACAACGGCGACGTCTATGAAAATCTCGCTGAAAAATAGACCCCGCATCCGCTTAATCCATTTAGCGATTATCCCAAGTCGCCTAGTTACTTAAAAGAAATTATGTTGGAGCTGAAGAGAGCGGGGGGCCGCACTCGAGTTCAGACAGAGATGGTAGAATTTATCACTTTGCCATTCCCGTCCTCAAAAAAACTTGAAATTTGGTCATTTCACGTCGTAGTCGTGCAGGGATGGCAGAGAAATGTACAAAAAAGCGTGATGCACTTGCAGAGTTGTTGTATTGCTAACTAAAACTATTGCTTGTTGCCGTTGCCGTCGCCGTCGCCGTCGTAGTTGCGTAAGGTCCCTAATAAAAGACAAAGGAAGCGCACATCATTGTTTGGGGGAGGGGAAGGTGAGAAGGTCACCATCACCTCACGTGTTCCAAGACTTTTAACCTTGTTGTAGTTTGGGAGGTGTGTAAGTTAGGCTTTTGTGTCATTTTTCTTTTCACTTTTGGATGGAGAAGGGGTATTATTTGCACTACAACTAAAACATGGCTGGGGAAAGAAAAAAAGAAAGCTCTGTCTGAAACACATTACGCCTTTGAAGTCGCCGCAGCCCAAACCTCTGGACTGGTTCATTCGAGTGCGAGCATCCGTTTATTGATAAACTGATGGTCATAACTGAGCGCGCTGTACAAAGCGTACGGCTATTAGGCCTGGGTTACTCAATTCATGCCGAGTCTTTCTCGAGAATGCCAAAATCGAGCGCAAAACTCTGAGACACCCAATTCGTCACTTTAGTGGCTGTTTACTCGGAGGGAGGAAAGTCCTAGCGCCAGGAAGATCCTAGAAGGCGGAACAACGTTTCCTTGGGTTTTACATGCAGAATTTTGGTCCGTGTGATTACCAATTAGAGAAGGAGTTAAAGATGGCGGGCGGCAACGTCAAAAATGCAATTTGGGCCCTTCTGTTCTTTTTAGTGTTGTTGATATCTACGTTTCAGCAGCAACTGCCAGGTCTTACAACTGGTAGCGCCAAACGATATCGTAATATTGCCTATCCCACTAAATGACCTCCCCGCCATTGCCGCGTCGTTTGTGCCTTTTACTAGGATCCTCCTAGCGAAAGTAGTTTACATGGTGCTAGGATCTTCCCATCTTCCTTCCTCTCACCTAGGACGTTCGTGCTACTCGGAAGATCCTAGCGCTAAGCACAAGTATAACCTTCTGCATGTTCAGGAAACGTACGTCATAATAGTTATAGTCCATAACACACCTTGTTTACCCCCAAATATTTTTCACTAACATTATCTTCAATTTTCTTGAGACGACTCGTAATGTCCAGGAGAAATATTGGAAGCAACGGTTATGGGGAGGGGGAGTAAGCAGGGAGTATTATGGACAATGTGAAAGTAGTGCATTCGTTTATTCATACCGTGATTAATTAATCTCCAGGTTCCTGTTGCCAAAACCCTGGCAGTTCTTGTAGCTCCACTTTTCGCTCTGGGATTGTCCGTAGGTGAGTTAAGTAGTCTTTTGAGTTGACTAAACTAGCTTGGTAAAAAAGCAGGTTACTGTTTTATGTGCTACTAGCCTAGTTAAGGTACGGTGAAACGGACAGCAAAAACATTAACGTGCAACTCGTTCGCAGTATTACGTCACGTTGCCATGGTAGCAAAATTTCTGGATTACAACAAACCAAAACGTCACTTAAAAGCGGATTCGCACTGTTTCAAACTTTATCGATCTTATTTAATTTCTTTTAATTTGTGAAATGTTGGCGAAATTTTCTCGGTTAAATCCGAAAGGATCGTATCTAAGTTAAGAAAATTTTTGTGTTGTGCTCACCTACTCCATAAAGCGGGCTTGTGAAATTAGAAACTTTCAAGTCGCAGTCGTGCAACAACGGCTAAGAAATGTACAAAAATGCGTGGAAAAAAAGTTGTTTTTTTTTTTGGCTAATCTAAACCTATTGTTTTTTTGCTTTTCGCCGTCGCCGTTGCAAATTGGCTACCGTGGTAACGTGCGGTCACACTTCTACTTTATTGATAAGCGATGTTGGGCGTAATTATGGGTTGAGGTGATCATTGTTTCTGTAAGATGTCCTCACAACAACCAATAATGACGTAAAACTTTTCGAAACTCGAACTGTACATTTTTCATGACTAGAATCGTCTTCTCGTTTTGAGAGAATAACAAACTCGACCGCGATTACTTGTAATGGCAAATTTTATCAGTTGTTTGCCCCTTGAGAAGCCACGTGACACTGCTTTTATCCCATCAATCCTAAGCACGTGCAAAAATGGCAGGTGTCGTGAATAAGGTCTATTTTTTGAAAATCGTCACGAATTTGCTCATAGTTTTTCCCTTTTTTTTCATTCAGCCATGGTAGATGTGTCAATGGCGCCGACTTTAGCTTATCTGGTTGACATCAGGTATGATACAGATTGTCGCAGATAGTCCTCTGATACGGATCAATCAAAAAAGATGCTTGGATTTGCTTGTCGAAAAATGTTTAGTGGAACTATCTTACCGCATAAATTGCTGCTGAAATAATGATACACAGATCTAGATACACTAGACTGCGAGATACGCAAGAAAATTAATTATCCCTGCAAAGTTGAGGACGCACCCACCATCCCCCAGAGTAAAATAAGAGCTAGAGGAGGGAAGGGGAATGCTTTCTTGTTACAGGGAAAAAATAGGCCTCGTGCCTCGCTTTAGTGACTAAAGAATACGCATGACAATATCCCGGATGGCAGCAACGCCCCTTACTGGCAGCAGCGGAAATATAGAATTGATCAGTCACGTTAACCCTTTCAGCTCTGAGCTGCACGTTACTGCTCGCACCGGTTGTGACGTCATAAGTTGTAACAGTCATAGACAACTTTGACATTTTTCTTGTGCCGGGGCAAAAGATGCGAATGAGCTCGATTCAGTCAAACGGGCCAGTGAAATACGCATGCCCGTGCAAGCTGTATAAAAGATATTCAGAATCAGAAACCGAAAGCAGCGTTATGTCCGACATCTAAATAGCATTTTGAGCCGTTTTGGTTTATCTTGGCCAGACAGTGACCAGAAAACGGCTCGGTTAGATCCAAAAGGCGTTTTTCGTCAAAATTTCCCTTAAGGAATTGGCAGAACCATTTACTTCCTTCACAAATAAATTTCAGACTGCAAACAAGAAATCATCTTTGTTGTAGAGGCAACTTTTGTTGTTGTGAAAAGTAAGCCTGAAAAAAGACAGCTTATAGTTTGTTACAGCGCTGCACCGATATCGCAGAGGTAAAGGTTTCGAATCCATACCAGTGAGATATCTTCTTTTCTATAACTGTAATGATCTTTTTACAGTTTAACTTTAGCTGGTTGTTCTGTTTTCTCCTCTAGACACGTTCCTGTGTACGGTAGTGTTTTCGCTATTGAAACCTTTGCCGCTTCTCTTGGCTTCGCGTTTGGTGAGTTTCTACTAAGAATGAATAAATTGACTGAATGCTTGTTTGAATGCATAGCACGCAATCTGATTTCGCGCCTTTGGACCTTCTACGCTCGCACCCTCTAACTTTTGGTTATTACTAGTTTATCTAATTCTCGGTGTATAATGCCACATATTTCGTAAAAGTGATGTAACATCAAGTTCTGCTTTTGTTTTAGGGCCACTGATTGGAGGAATTATAGTTACTCATGGAAGTTTTCCATGGTAAGATAAAAGAATTTTAAAGCAAGTCATCGATTAATTGAGGAAATCAGTATTAGCTCTCTACCAATCCTCTTATTTGTGGGCTCCAGTCCCCACGTCACAAATAAATAAATAAATAAATAAATAATAGATAAATAAAGATTTGGAGGTAGCACATCCCCAAAGTGGTTCTTTGTCTACCTGATTCCTGGTCGAATTGGAATTTGAAAATGTAGGTTTTCGAGGAGAGGGGAAAACCGGATTACCCGGAGAAAAACCTCTAGGAGCAAAGGAGAGAACCAACAACAAACTCAGCCCACATATGGTTCAACCCACAAATCAAATTGACATCTGAGGTAGTCTCTGAGATTTTCCAGAAATATTGGCGAAATCTCGTATGGTTAGAAAGTAGTGAAAACCCTGATCATGCCGGATTTTTCAGTGATCGACGACCATCGCAGATGATCGGAGTGTCTACGGTCTCGTGTTTTCATTGGTCAGGAAAACCTCAAATTATCGAAAAATTGACAAATTACATCGCGTTAGTCTGAAATGCCGTACGTCTCCACCCCATAACCCTCATGGGTTAGGGGGTGGAGACGTATGACATTTCAGACTAATATCGCGTTAGCCTTCAACTGGGGTCCCTTCTTTCAGTTTCCTTGCTACAAGAACGACAGCTAAGCTAGCAGTCTACGATCCTCTGTGATAATCTTTTCTTCTACACTTTCCGAAATAATCGTTTCTACCAGGTATATTTCATTGTGTTCCGTTCCGTTTCAGGTTATTACGAGGGATGGCGATTCTAAATCTCCTGTTTGCGCCGTTAGTTTTATTTCTAAGAAATCCACCGGCAAAACATCAGCTGTTACAGAATGAAGAGTCACTAGGTAAACGTGTTGCTTTCATCTCCGCGGTTTTTTTCCTTGCAACGATCTTTGATCGCAAAAGTAACAAAGAATGGATACCTTGAAGTCCAGATTTTGACGATTTCCGAAGTTTACCGAGGAAAATCCGGAGTTCACTCGAGCTCAAACAAAATAAAGAAGACGTGCTCTTAGTGTACGGGAAAGGGAGTGTGTCCTAGTGAATGTCGTCTGAATTGCCCAACAGTCACGGGTGGTCATATTAACGGGGTTCAACTGTACTTAAGTAGATTCTCCATAAGATTTCATCAACAGACTCAGAAGTAAGAACTGCTCGCTAACTGAATGGTACTATGTGAAAGTACTGAAGAAGAGGTTCCATTTGAATGATCGCACTTTAGAATTTCATCCACAGAGTCGAAAGTTAATTAGAACTACATACTAAATAAATAGTACCATGTGAAAGTATTGCTGAGTAGGTTTCATTTGAATGGTAACACCATAGGATTTCGTTCGCAGACTCAAACGTTAGAACCACTTAGTACATAAATAGTACCATGTGAAAGAATGGCTGAAGCGGTTTCATTTGAATGGTCACACTGTAAGGTAAAGATTTCATCCACAGACTCAAAAGTTAGAACTGCATACTGAATAAATAGTACCTTGTGAAAGTACTACTGAAGAGGTTTCATTTGAAAGGCCCGCCTGTTCATAGAGCGTAACAGATATTATCACGTAAAAGTTCAGCCAAAGATGGTTTACACCACAGAATTTGAAAATAATTATTTTTAATAAATAAGGAAATAAGAATAATAATGAATAAATAAGCTAATTAACTGTTTGAAAACGATTCACCAGTACTAAAGAAGGACTTTAATTTCAGATATTGATGGTGAACAAGAAACAACAGTGGTTTGATGGTATAGTAGCAAAGAGGACGAAAAAGATTTTCCCTTTTCTCGCATGTTAGTGTGAAAATATTCACTTTTCAAGTTTTAGCGGAGCTCCGCGCTAAGCGGAGCGCCATGGGTGAGAAAATTTGGTAATCTACCCATCCGAGAAATCAGGTGACCGTACGCCTAACCAACCGTCCGCCCGTACCACAGGCATACCAATGTAAAATAACTCAACCAACAGCTATAGAAACCCAAATGCAACACGAGATTATTTTGGCGGGAAATCGCATAGCCATCCGCGTCTTGTGAAGCAGAGACAACTAAAGAGTCAATAAAAACGAAAACGGAAAGCGGAAATTGTTTCTGTATCCTTGTTGTCTAAAGTATTAAGCTTAGATTAATTGTCTTGTCCACAAATTTGGAATACAGAGACAAAATAAAGTCGGCGACAGGCCAGCGAAGTTCAACGAGAAAAAGAGCGACAGAGAGCTAGAGCGGAAGATAAGGAGCTATTTGTTGGAAGAACAAATTTAGCGGCGGTGAGAAAATGAGAAATCCTAAATGAAAGCCTAGCGGCCACCAAAGTGCAAAAAATGAGTGTACTGCACGTGCAAAAAAAATTGTTGTTTTTTACAGTTCTCGTTGCCTTCGCCGCTTAAAACAACATTTTGGAGCAAACTATAAATATTATCGAGAGCTTCGCTTTTAGCCCTGGCTAAATCTATATATTAAAACTACGGCACGATGTATAATGGTGATAAACGGAGTGGAGTCTCGGAATCATACGAGTTATAGTAGCGTAGCGGGAGTCCGATTTGTTACGCAAAGTCAGTAACTGTAACTATCACAAACACAAACTAAAACACAAAATATTCCGAAAAGTTTTAGCTAGCAGCGAAAGAAAACCCTAAAAGTGTGTGCACGAGGGCGCATACCGTCCAATTACAGGACAATTGATGGCCAATCACATTAGTGAATTTTGTTGTAGGTATGAATAACACACTAACCATGAATTGTTAAGGTCATTATCCAAAACACCGGCAGTTCACTGGAAAGTAGAACTTTGAAAGAATGCCATTTACTTTTTTACGATAACAGACAGAATCTCTGCAATTTAAGAGCCTGAAACATGCAGGCTAGAAGATACGCAAAGCGGCATTCTTTTGAAAAATAATAAATCCAACGACTAAAAAGATTCAAAGTTTGATATGTTACCAAATTTTCTTAAGGTTTGTGCTCCACGCGCGCCTTCATATTCAGAAGATAAGTTAAAACTTAAAAGTTTTAGCCGTTGTGAAGTAAAAGAAGTCGATCACATCAAGCTATTCCTTCACTAGCATTTGTTCATTGTTTTCTTCGTTATTTGTTTCAGGCTAGAAGATTAACCAAACATGGGAACGACAACCCTTTTACGGGCGTAAAATGTACGTGTGTACGCACGTAAAAATTACGCGATAGTGGAAATCCACCCTTCCTCGAATAAGGGGACCCCTAGCAACGAGTTTTTGGCCAGGGGACCTGTTTTCTACCCGCCCTCTCCTCCCACCCCTTATTTGTACCATCTTCATCTTAAGTGGTTGTAAACATCAGGCATTAGCAATACAAATTTGAAAGAAAATGTCGTATCACCTGGAGTGCTCCGCTGGAAACAGATGGTGTCAGTGATGGGCTCCTGCACGTGTTTGTAAAACAAAATATTCGTAACAAAATTTAATCCTGTTTTTCAATAAATGCCATGTCGGAGGGAATCAACCGGCAATCTTCAGTTGGAGATGTCACTTGCGTAACAGCTGAATATCAGTGAAGGGTAAACTGTTCCACAGGACTGCACCGGCTGTAGCTCAAGCTGTTTTTATGATAGTTAGTACGTGGCAGGGGAACGTAACAGCATGCTTATTTGAAGTCGCGAAAATTGTAAGGAGCGACCATATCACTTCGCTAACTTGAATAAATTTGTGGCCAAATAACCTGGTGCAAGGTAGTCTCCTTCGCATCCGTTATTAGGTTCGTCACGACCCTAATAACGGCTGCGAAAAAGACTAGGTGCAAGGACATCTATAGATTTGTAGACCATCCCCGGTGGGGTCATTCACGGGCCGTTTGGGTGTAGGCGTGCCGCGGAGGCCTTCAAACTGTTACCTTCTTTTTAAGACATAGATTGCGCGTTTCGCTTCCCTGTTCAGGCAAGAGACCTTATTTTATCACCCTGATTTGTTTTGCTTTGCATAAAGAATTGAGAAATTTCTCAAACTAGAATAATGAAATTAGGTTTGGTGGGGGGGGGGGGATTGGTAGCCTTAGAACGCGGACGCGTTGCTTTTCGGGTGGAGAGAAGAGATGACGGGAAATACGTATATGTTTGCAGGCTAGAAAATTGACGGTTTGCACAGACAAATGTAGACCGTTCATCGCCAGCCTTCATAATCTTTTATATCATGTACACGGGATAATGTATTTGTAAAGGCTTCCAATTCAGAGACACCCTGTTGAAGATTGTCCCAGCCTAATTTTCCAATGACCTTGAATCAATTGTTTGGCATCAGCATTATAACTGCAATAACCATTGATGCGAGTTTGTAGATTTTTGAAGTCAATAGACAGTCAAGTTAATATAATTTACCGCGGGGTGGTACTTCCTTATGTAAGCCACATAGGTATGTGCCACCCCAAAGGATAGTCTTTGCGCTCTCTCGGTCTGAAAATGGCTATAGATCTTGCACATTTTGGTCTGGAATATGTTCGATTACCAGCCGCTATTAGGGAAAATGAGCCCGCACTCATCCCCCCAACGGATGAGAGGATCAACGACCGGACCCGGGAGACGGCGGAAATGTAGCGTAGGTCTAGAATCGAGTATGGTTTTCGAGGGAACTACGGAAGTATATGCGTATTTGTCGTTTCAATTCCAAATGATTAAGAACCAAAGACAATATGGGCAGATTCGAAATGGACTTTCAGCCGGATCTTTTTGTTGGCGTTCTTGAATCTAGGTAATTTCGGGTCTGAAAACGGGTATGGATTTTAGGGGGCAGGTTTGTAACAGGTGTGGATAATGACACTTTTTGGTCTGAAATAGGGTCAGGATTTGGAGAACCGGGCGGCACAACCCCACCAAGAATTCCCAGGGTAATTTATCAGGAACTGTCTTGTTACAGTTACCCCTGATACAAAACTAAGATTACCCTCCTCCCCCACAGGGATTTAACCAAGGCATTAACTTTTCATTCCTACAGTGTAAAGCTCAAAGAGCATCTGTGAATGCGGATGTCCGGTTAAAGGGCCAGGTTTGCTGCTGAAAAGATAATCGATAAATTAGAATGTAAATAACAATTTGTTGTGGTAAGCACAAAGCCATCATTTATGCCAAACCGAAGGCGATTGTTTTGTCGTGACGCACTATTGCGAAATTGCAATTGCAATAAGTTCTTAGAGAGCGAAAATTTCTTAGCAAGGGAAGCGAGCTTCGTTAAAGGACTTTTAGAAACTCCATTGTTTCAACTGAATAATATCTGATTGAAGCACGGTTAAGGTGTGGGGGGGGTTGGGTACTCAACAAAGTTTTATACGGGGAGGTTTCTCGCCGCGGTCCAATCCCTCAACCTGTTACATACATGACTTTATGACAGAAAAGGTTCCCCTCCCGTATTCCTTCTATTGACAAAATAGTACCCTTCTACAGACCCAGTTTAGAACTTTGCAATTGCATCCCTTTTTAACAGGTAGCAGGCCACATCAGCTTATGCGGCCATCCCTCAAACTGCTTTGTCAAATAAAGTATGTACATGTATGTATGTATGTATGTACGGCTGTAAATGCATTGTCTTTTAAAATATGGATAAATCACGAAACCAAAATGTTTTCTCGACTTTTTCACCCGCACAGCCATAAATCTATCTGGTAGCCCTTTTGGGCATTTTTACAGACCAAACTGACAGATTTCTCTATTCATGAAACTCAACTAGTGAATCCCAACCCTTTCCTATGCCTGAAGCCCTAAAAGGTACCCCTTTCGGGCGGAGCCTCCCGGTATAGGCTATTATAGGGAGTACCCCCGGAGTTAAAACTCTCGCAAAAAGCCGATTCAGGACTTTACTGCCATTGAACAATCGCTCGGTTTATGCACAAAAGTCGTCCAAAAAATGGGAATGCCAAAACTCCTTCCTTTGTGTGTTCTAACCTTAGCAAAACCCACATTTTTTTAGTTATAAGAAAATGAAAGCGTAGAAAGGAGACGACATTTGCTGACTGCGGAAATTTTTCAGTTTCGAGTTGTATTTTTTGGAGTGCGTCAGCCAATTCATTAGCTTTCTTTAAAAAAGCTGTTTTTGACAGGTTCTGTTACAAACCGCCAATCGTCGAACAGTAATCAAAAACATGTTGTGGGTGGGTCGTTTTAGCCATGTTTATTTAGTATCGCAAACATAGGTACAACACCAGATAGAACTGTCATACTATACAATACATAGGCATTCTACGACTTACTAGAAAAGCCGTTTGTTATGTAAGAGTTAAATGTAACTTGAAAATATTTAGTTAAGGGCTGACGAGTTTTAATAAGTACAGTTATAAAGCAACACTTTCACCCATGCGTGCTCGGAAGTGGAAAATCGTCAGCGCCAACAGACCTAAAACAGAACGTGTTATCGCGGCGGATGGAAGAAATCAAATGTGGAGACAATTTATCGCCTCTGATTTCCTCGGTTTGAACCTTGCTACCATTATATTTCTGCGTTATTTCGTTTTTTGTCTCAGTCAGGGTTCTTTTACATTTGTTCGTGAGTTTGTTTTTAATCTGCACTGTTTCACAAAGTTTTTTTGTGGTGCGAACAAGCCTTATTCAAACATTTCAAAGGAAGTGCTAAGATCAAAGCACGCACAATGCCAAAAGAAATTTCGTTTGATTGCGTAAAGTAAAAGACTAAGCAAAGGTCAAACCACGTGAAAAGATCTTGCTCAAATATTGCACATGTGTTGTTTTGACAACTAAGTTATTCCGAAAAAAACAGCCACAGTTTGAAACGTATTGTGTACTTTTACATTTTAAAAAATTCCGGACTCTCTCAGTGACACCCGGTCTGGAATAACCATTAAATTTTTTTACTAATTTTGCTTATTTTTCAGCATTTTGTAGCGTAAACTTTAGAACTGTTTTCATATTTTTCATTGGCCGCAACTGCGGAACGGCAGGATTAAAAATAGAGGACGTTCGTTTCCCGAGCGCGGGCCACTATCCTAGCCAGGTGGAGAGTGCGCTAAAATGACTCTAAGTAGATTTGGCCTTAGATTATAAAGTGGCAATATAACAAGAGTGCATATACTAAATAACACTTTTTTTACTGTACTCTTCTTTAATACTGAACCGGCTAAATTGAGCACAAAATGAACAACCTTAACCAGGACCTGGCTAAGGCCCGCGCCAAAAAGCCTAAACATGATTTGCATTCGTCGACGATCTCCGTTGCTATACATACGTAGATTTTTATCTAATTACTATTAAAACTAGCCTGTCGATATATAATTAAATTTAAACCTCCTTTGCAATTTTTCTTGAGAGTTAAGAAGGCTTGGGTTGTCTAGCTTACGAATGCACATCGGTTATTTTATAATATCAACATTTAAGTCACAAAACATGACTATTCGACTTTCTTTGTGACAAGAGAATAATAGAACATTTACCGTAATCCTCTCTTGCAAGAGAGGGCAAACCAAAAGCGGCCTAGTAAGAAGTCGAAGAAAAAATATTTTTTATAATTGGCATGTTTCTGAAGAGATGGCTCTTGCATGTTTTTATTATGATGCTAAAAAATTCATGCACACCAAGAGCCATCATGGCTGTTGTGCACACCCAATGGGTCAAAAGTATTGAATTGAATTGACGGAGAAACAATTGTGTCTTTAGAGAGATTAAGCCTTGCGTTTGCGGCAAACGGCAAACGCGAGATTCAAGTTGAGAAATTTTCAAAATTAGAAATGAGCAGATAAAAACAGCTTAAAACAATTGTTATGGGTAGAATTGGCGTGAATCTACCAATTTTCGTGTAGTTATAATGACCAGTGAACGATATTAAAGTAAATGGAAAACTTGATCACGTGGTACAAATTCACGTTTGCCGTTTGCCGTAAAAGTTATGCGTCTCATTCTTTCGTGGCCTGTTTTTTGTTGTTGTTGTTGTTTTTCATTATTCCTTTTTTGGGGGGTCTTCTCGCAGTGAGATACTACTCAATGTAGACTAGAGATTTTACTTGCGATTAGGATTTTTTTCGGTGGGAGAATGGAGTGGGATGGACGGCGGGGGGCCAAAGTCGGCGGCAAAGGGACCCTTGATTACAGGTTATCGTTCTCATGAAAATGTTCACAAAACGAACGTACGCGTGTATGTGTTACGTTTGCTTCCCGAGTATCGAATGAAAAAATATACAAACACTCTACTGCGCATTCGCACAAGCCTTAAGTTGTCATCGCTTAATTTCATCACAAGACAAGTTCCTAGGGAGAAAGCACAGCTTGCGGGGTCGATGAAGTTCGAATTGCCATGGCACCATGTTTCACTCTCCTATGAGCTAATGAAATTCTCTCCCTAACAGTTAAAATAGAAGTGTAAGACAGCAACTTTTCTTTCTCAAACTGACATTTTATTGTTCATTAGAGATGAATTCCGATGGTTTCGCACATTTATTAAAGCTAAACAGTATCATTTTTCAAGAAGCTCTTTATTTTTTGTGTAACCCTGGTTCAGCTGCACAATGTATATTGTTCGGAACATGTGGATTTGATATTGTTGTTGATGAGCAAATAGCTATAATCACTTTTATGACAGGTCTATTTACATTTTTAAAATATTTTTTAATCGTACTTGACACCCGGGTTGACAACACGAAATTTATAGTTTTGAAAAAAATAATTTTGAAATCATATTCTCCGCGTCAGAGAGAGTGTCTCTCTCCTCGCCGCTTTCTCCACTTCGTGGCTCGTTCTCTCTCTCACGAGGAGAAAAATATCAAGAAAAACCTCTGGGACCAGGGTAAAATATATATAGCAGACCATACTGCTCAAACAACCAAAATCATGCTGCTTCGACCACTAGTATTAGGCCACATGAAACACTCCACCCGCGGGAATAGATAACAAAATGAAACGGTGAATTGTGTGAATTTTAACAGGTACTAAGGCTAGAGTGATTAATTTTTCTGAAGGAGTGTCCGGGAATTTTTCTTCTATTAAATTAGCTGCCTAGAGTACCGCAGGTGGTCAAGTCTCCTCTCGACTCCGAGGTGCTAATAAAATTTTGTGGGCATTAATCAAATCAGCTTTGCCGTTAAGGGGGATTCCCGGTTTAAAGCTGTTTGTGTTAACTCAGTTCACAACATGTGGTACCTTGTTTTGGAATTAAGTTGTTTAGATCAGTTACCGTGTTTCGCGGCTTTTGAACTCGATTTTTTTTAATTACACAACACCAGGTGTTTGTAGAGAATGGGAGTAGAGAAAACCGGAACTTGTAAATGCCGCGATAATTCCTACACTTGATCAACAATTTAAAGAAAAACACTCCTCGCTATTTTGAAACCTAGCAGTTTCCGGTGAAAGAAAACAACATACTAGTCTTTTCTGAGATTCTTGGAGGCAAAGAATTATGAAAGGATAAAGGTTTCGTGAGATAAATAAGCCAGTTGCAATCACTTCCGGTTTTGGGCAACACTGCGCGACAGTCACGACCCTTATCGCGTCTCCCCTTGTGTTTATTTCTTAGCTTTGACAGTTCAGCTGTCAAATTTGGCGGGAGATTAGAGGTTCTTTTTCTGGATTTTCGCTTTTGTGCAATTGTAACGCAAACTTTCTCCCTCTAACATTCTTGCGATCGAAAATCAATAAATCGCAAACGCAGCGATTGTATCTATTTACAAAATTTCAATGTAATAGGTTGGAGTTCATTTGATCTTATTTTGAACCAGTATAGCAAAAGTGAGAAGCAACTGTCTGCTTGCGGTTCCGCAAGACTGCAAGCGATTCCGCAACTGACTCAACAAATTAACCGCGTAAAAACATTCTTAAAATGGCACCTCTATCCTTCTCACGTTCAACACAAAGGCACTCTTGTAGCAGAAGTGAAAGTGAAGTGCGATTTGCATCACAATCGCGGCAGCCTTTGGCATTCTGAAGTAAGCGTGTACCAATTGTTTCACTTGATAATTGAATTTCTGTTGACGAGCTTGATTACAGGTAATTTCCTCTTTTTCAAAAAGGTTTGACAGTTGGCTGACTTTCTGGATTTATTCGAGCCGTGATTTGCATACAACACGCGTTGTTCTAAAAAAAGATCAAACCCTTGATTTTCCAACGTTCGCTCGATCGCGATCATTTTTCCACACAGCGTGAAGTCTAAAGCCACTGACTTTAAGAAAAAACATTTAGAGCAATAAGGAAACTAGAAATCCAAAGTTTTGACATCACACTGGTTTCTTTTGTACTTCGGCGCTGATTCATGCGTGTGCTCGTTCTCAAATAAGCCACCTAAAGCCAGCTGTCGCTTGCAGTGACGTAAACAGAAAAGACAATGAATCCAAGATTTAGATGTGTAAAGCATTTCATGCCAAAGGAATCTTTTCACAGCTTTCAACAAAAAGAAATGAACTCACTTGGGAATAAGAGAGCTTTCGTGAATGCTTTAAAATGTGACCTAATCGAAGAAACGTTGTCTGACCGTCTGAAGTAAAGATCCTTCGACCTCGCCAAAAGCACATGGTTTGTTTACATTGAGCAAGAAAAATTTTTAACTCGCTAAGCAGCGCGATCTCTCTTTCTTAGTCACTTTATTTGATGAAAAAAAAACGTGGAATTGGAGTAAGAAACGAATTATTTAGATATATGGCGGTCCTTACGTTCATCAAGCGTTTGAAAGTTGACTATAATCCTGCAATTCTTTCGGATCATTAAAGCAGAAAGCGCGCGAAAGGCGACAACAATACACAACGCGTAGTGATTGTGGAATTTTTAGCTAAGAAGATCAAATTAACCGTAAGCGCATGAACGATACGAAATCACAGGACAATGAAGTAGAAATTGCAAAACGAGGTTTTAATCTTTCTCTTCCTTTGAATAATCCATACAAAATTTCTTCTCTGGCATTAGAATTATGCTAAATGTATAAACTTAAATACAATCGTATGCAAACCTTGGACGTTAGAATAAAGAGCCATGTCCGTCTTAATATTAGAAAAACTTTTTCATAAACCTTGATTTTTCATTACATCATTTACAGCCAGTATTTGGAACACAGCTGTTTAAAATTAGAATAAAATTTATTTAAAAATCCACCACTACAACTGGGCAGTATATTAAACCTACTTTCAAAGTAGCAAATTTTCTACATCGTAAATATCGTCAAATTATTGAGAAACCTCCCTTATAGAAGAATTGGGAATTATAAAAACGCATTGTTAATCATAATCTCTCGGTTTTTTGGGCCAAATTCTTAATCAACACTTTGATATTAAAATACTTTACACTTAGTTAGGGTGAAAATTCAATACTGTATTTGCTACAATTCAAAAATTTTACATAGATACATATTCGATAAGTTAAACCTCTAACTAGAAACTCCAACCTTTTTAGGGGGAAAATATTGTAATTTCCGCAACATTTACACAACATCCTCTGTGGGAAACTAAATACTAAAATTTAACAACAATCTTCCTGAAATTTCCGTTCTAAATAAAGATCGCCGCGCGAATTTAACCTAACAAAACATCTGAACATTGAAGGCCATGCGTCCATATCACACGAAAATATGAAGCCTCGAAAGGGAAATTGAAATTGTACTAACGATAAAAACACGCCTTGAATGAAAGAGACCTTAATGATAGTAATAGCAGCAACCTGCACCGTCATTTGTGGGTTTTGTTTAATATAAACGCAATAATAATTTAGTTCGCCGCGATCTTTAGCACTGCTGCACGCTGTCTTAGAAATAGTGGAGCGATCCCATAGTAAACAAATAACACAACAACCCGTATATAAATTTAAAATCGGCGTATAAACTCTAAATTTACCCTCAAAAAATCTTTACATAATGATTCCACTTAAATTCTTACTTTGGAAACAGCAAGGCAGGTTCAGCGACTTCTCTTAGGTAGAATACGGTTATTATTCCTGGGCACCTTCGGCAACTGACCGCCATTTGCTTGCGCTTGCTGGTTTTGAGGACAATACTTGATCGTATGCGACTCATCCCCGCTTGCTTTGCAAATTGGACAGGTATAAGCTCTCAGAATCGGACATGTCGTCTTTCCATCTGGACCTTTTAACAGATGAGATAGGTAAACTTCCTCGCTCTCGCCGTTGTTTCTGCAGAAAACGCACACTGTACCACGATTTGAGATCGCCGGAGCGGGTGCTCTTGCAGACGGTTTAATCCGCCGACTCGGAGGCACAACAGCTTCTTTCCTCTTAGATGCTGCACTATGCAAAAGCGAGGACGAGTTGAAAGGCTGGAAAGGCCCATCTCCAAAGTGATCTGTAAATGAATCACAGCTACCAGACGAGGAGTTTTCCGAATCAATGCTGTCAAATCGGTCTCGTCTCGGCTGCAATTTGCTTACTCCGAATTCTTCTCCAGTGAAATAGTCGAAATCATTGTTCGCTTGTCTCACTCTCTGCACTAGGTTGCTTAAACCAAAGTAGTCGTTAAACATGTGAAACTCGTTTCTTTGCAGATCGTCGGTCTCTGGAGGGCACGTTAAGGACTTTATCTCTTCGTCGTCTGAGTCCAAGAAGTTACTTGGAATGAGGGTTTTAAGCATCACCTCGCTCAACGACATTTTTCCTTTCAATTCAGTGAAGCTTTCGCGATCCCTCGATGAAAGGTCGGGCTTGGCTTTTCACTCCAGACGTGAAACTGCGGTGTAGAATTTACGTCTTCGTCCGCCAGAGGGCAGATTACCTGTTATTGTCAATGCAAGCCAAAAACTCGCATGGGAATCAGCGGGACGTAGAGGTTTTTTTGAAGCGTAGCAAAGAAGGCGTGACTTAGCTACTCAATCAATTGTCAAAAAGAGCCGTACTGCGCTTGCGTTTTATGACGTCAAACAAGCTGATAATGAGATACACACCGGGATGGCGAGAGAAGTGAATTTTTGCGCCTCTCAAAAATACTTACTTAATTACTTTATCAAAAGAAGTAAATGCGTCTTGTGATATTGGTCTAGAGAAAAACACAGTATACAAAATTCGAGTGTTTTGAAGCTTTCTTCTTCCCGTACGAATGGTAAAACTAAAACATTTTTGGCTCCCCTCCCAAAACGTACAAAGTGAGTTTAACAGAGCGTGGCTGATTGATTTTGACAGGTTTTCTCTTTCAGTAACAGCATGGATTACAGTGTCATTCATGAGACTGGAGGGCGCCAAATCTCTCAAATTACGCTTTGTTTCTGCCTCCAATCACAACAACTCTGGTCAAATATCTATTGTCATGGAAATACAATGTACACAATTAAGCAATCAAGTCACGCTGACATTTCACTAATTTCTCTTTCGCAAAATAACCCTTAGCCATTGTAACTATAAGGTCAGGAGCAACGATGTGCGAAAATAAACACCTTGAATGCCCGCTATTCAAAGCATTATTAGTTTTGCATTAGACCGTGATACCTTTGGACCCTCCGCTGAGAAAATAGTTAATTAAAGTTGCCGTTCACTAATTGACAAACTGTAAAAAAGTCGCAACGAATCAGTGCTTCAAGACATATATGCTGAATGGCAAATTCTGACGGTCAGTTTACAGTTACGCGATGACACCATCAGAGATCAAATGCGAACAGTTCACTTTAAAATAGCGACGTTTATCGATGACAGAGGCAAGGCAAAGTGATAAATGCCTATCACTCGATCGACACCCCGTAAATAGAGCGCTAAGTATGCAAATTGCGGTCACTCGGAACCTCGGAACAGTAGTTACTGCACGCATTTTGAGAGAAGAGCAGAGGCTTCAAAAAGCAACTGCGTATTTATTTATATTCCCGTATTTTTTGGTCATTCGGCCAACATCCACAAACAAATTTATTCCCTCACCGGTTTCCACGCACGCAAACTCTGGCAAAACAATTAGGAAAGATTCCGGAAGAATTTTCAAAAAGTAAAACTGTTTTTATAAACTTCCCACCATTACGTTGTACTGAGGGAGACACACGCGGTCTTCTATTTTCAGTGCTCTAGTTTGCAAGTTTTTTCTGCCGTCATCTCATCGTGCAGGGTTGTATTGGTATTTCTCCTTCGTCTTCTGCAAAAATCCTTGCGGGAGTATTTTTGGATAAAATCGATCTAGGAGCCCTGGTCTCCTGTCGGAAGGACCCCCAAAACGAAAGGTAAAACAATGATAGAAAAATTATGAGATTTTTTGAAGGGCATGGTGGGGTTAGGTATTTTCCCAGGGGGCTGTGGAAAGATGGACAATGTCCATGAGATGGCAGGTTTCGACTTTTGATGTAATACTATTTACTTTGCCCTTAAGGGAACCCTATCTAAATCATTTACCTGTCCATAGAACATGTTTTTTCTCGCAATATGGCAAATAATTGATTGAATCTGCGCATATCGTTGAACCCACTTGTTTCCAATTCGTAAAAACCTCTCTTATCTAATTGCCTGTTTGACCACTTTTCTATTTTCCTAAACCCTGACAAAAGGTTCTTTTTACCGAAAAAGAAAACCGCCCCTAATTCACCTCTTCCGTCCACCTCATATGCCCAAGCCTCACCCCGTCTCTGACCATCGTCCACGTCTCCTAGCTGTACAAGTGCACGCAGTGTGCATGCAGTGAAACAGTGACTTCTTGTATAATTGTGGAATTAGTTGACCAAATCGTCTTAAGTATTTTAAGAAATTATTTACTGTACGAGGTTTCTCTGTAATGTTAGAGCCACATGATACTCCGTCATCACCAAAACCAGCAACTATACCAAGTAACTGAGGTTCTCAGGCGCAGTTTCAAAAATTACATTATGCAGTGAAAATTATAGAACACATTACTCATTATTATAAGTGAGTGTTCTAAAATTAGTTTTAGACTTCAGTTGAAGACAGCCTCCTCTCAAAAATCATATCATTGCGGTTACCTTTAATTCAAGTAAGTTTCTTTTTTATTTCTTCTCATTTGCAAGCCGGAGGAGATGTTGGAGAGCTTTAAAAGCTTCACGTATACAGATTCAAATTGAGAATTTCTTAAAATAGAAAATGAGCAGATAAAAACCGCTCAAAACAATTCCTATGGATAAAAAATTGGGTGAAACTGCTAAAATTTATTTGTGGAAGTCATGAAAAGTAAACGACAACTAAAGGGGAAACTTGGTTGCGTGGTACAAATTGACCCCTCCGTTAGCCTTTCTGACTACTGTAGCTACAATTCGTGTGAAAATAAAGTTCATGTGTGTAGTGCCAACTAGCGTGTATGAGAAACCTGACCGACCCCAAGTTGCTGATGTCTAAAAAAATACGGTCATAATTATTATAATTTAAGGAAAGGTCTGGGAATAATCCTGTATTGCAAGCCAAAATTCTTATGTCTCTTTCCGCAACCAGGAAACATGGTTTCACCATAAATTACTAGCTATACCACCTGCATTAAGCCAAGACTATGTATGTTAGGAATCTGGGCCCAAGCTCTACCGGCGATTGAGACGGCGGTCGATCGAAGGAGAAACGAAAGGGGGGAGCAAGGGTGTGTTAAGATGGCTAAAAAGGGGAAGGTTATTTCTTTTTAAGTAGGGGTCGTGTTTTAGGTTCTGGTAGATTTCTTACAAATTTCTCTTTGTCTTTGTGTAGAATTAATGGAGAACTTCTTCAAGGAAATTTAAAATTAGGTAAGGGGGATATTCACCCAGCGCCTTAAAGATGTTTGAATCAGTTTGATAGCCTCAGTATGAAGTTGTAAAACGTGTGTTACATCATACAATCAATCACTCAGTTTTGGTTCAACTTCCTTGCAACCAGCGTTAAGAAACGATACGAATTTGAAGTGTAACTTAACACAGCCGTGCTTCATTTCGATTCATTAGCAAATGAGTCTGAATGGAATATTCCAGCATACAGATCTTTGTAACAGTTTGATAGCCTGTGAAGAAGTCGTAAGACATGTGTTAATATACTATCACTGACGTTTCAACCTCCTTGCTTTCAGCGTTAAGAAACACCACAACGTACATCACTCTAGTGGAATTACGAAATATCACGAATACTTTTATCATATATTTTGTTACTATGTCCTCCGAAAAGGCACGGAAATTAAGGTGGCTCCGTAATTAATACAAGAGCATTTAGCTGTGACAAATTTTCCGTCATAACTTTTTGGTTTTTAACGCGATGGCTGCGAAACTTTGCAAAGAACAACAGATATCATTAGGCAATGATTCGAAATATTCCGAGTTCACTGATGGTAAATATTTCTCGAGAAATTAGCGCTTAAAAGGACCCTACTGTTCAAAGAAAATCGCGTCTAGTAAAAAATTTTGCTGATATTTTTTACTGAAATTTCTGGTATCGGCTTTAATTGATATAATAAATATGCCAGAGGAATTTCAGAAAAATCGTTGGAGCAGAAGTCCGAAACTAAAAGTCGCTCAAAATTCAGCTGTGAAATTGTTTTGGAATTTCAAAAATAAATTACCATCAGCGAGAAGGAGCCACCAGTTTGAATTTTCGGGACAAGTAAATTCAGTGTTTGCTAATTCTGAAAACAGAAGCCGATTGCCTATCGTGCTATTCTTTAAAAAGGTACTGTTCAGTTTTAGAAGCACTATAAATTGCTTCAAAACTTTGCTCTGACTTCGAATGACTTGTTGTCCTTGTTCCTCGACATTTTAAAATATCCCTTGGCAGTTTTGGTTCAAACTCCTGCTGCACACATTTTGATGTATTGCAATGCATCCTCAACAGCTTTTCCTGCTGTACGTTGTTTCCAATTCAGGAAAAAGGTATTGGGATTGTAAGCTACCTTGTATCAAAGCTCAGATCGAACTGTCCAGCACCTTTGTTTATGACCAGAAAATGAGCACGAGCGGCACTTGTGCGAGGAATTCGCACCTCAGCCAGGGGGACGAATGACAATGATGCCCATGTCTGTGAACCGATCTGTATAAACATGTATTGCAGAGCAAAACATAATAATCAAGAAAAAATACCCATTCATTGAGGGAAGGAGTGACAAAAATTCCAGAGTTGTAAATTTATTCACGGGCAGTATTTTTGCGATAATTTTATTTTGGACTGTGATGTTATTCGGTTCACAGGCATGGTCATCGATGTCGTTCGTCCCCCCTGTGTGAGGTGCGAATTCCACGCAGAACTGCCGCTCGTGCTCATTTTGTAGTCATAAACAAAGGTGCTGGACAGTTCTATCTGAGCTCTGGTACGAGGTAGCGTCCAATCTCAATACTTTTTTCCTGAGTTGGAAGCAACGAACAGAAGTAAAAGTCGTTGAAAATGCATTGCAATACATCAAAATGTATGCAGCAGGAGTTTGAACCAAAACTGCCATGGGATATTTTAAAAATGTCGAAGAACAAGTAATTCTACCTCAGAGCAAGGTTTGGAGCAATTTATAGTGCTTCTACAACTAAACAGTACCTTTTAAAGAATAGCACGATAGGCAATCGGCTTTTTGTTTTAAGAATTAGAAAACGTTGAATTTACTTGTCACGAAAATTCAAACTGGTGGCTCCTTCTACCCGATAGTAATTTATTTTTGAAATTCCAAAACAATTTCACAGCTGAATTTTGAGCGACTTTTTAGTTTCGGACTTCTGTCCAACGATTTTTCTGAAATTCCTCTGGCATATTTATTATATCAATTAAAGCCG